AACAAAAATGATAAATCATATTTCTTGTTGTTCCTTAGTAGCAGAGTGATAGAACGTTCGGTTGCTAACCGATTGGTCGTAGGTTCGGAGCTTACTTGAGGAGATTTTATAAATAAAAAAATTTAAAATAAAGGGGCTCGACTTGTTTTCTATCTTTATTTCTACTGCATTTTATTTTATCATATCATATCCCGTTCTGCGAGATTAGAAAATCACCGTCAAACGTCAATACGACAACCGATGTCCGAAATAACCTTGTGTTCCATAGCTCTAGGGCTATTTACAACTAGCAAAAATTCCATAAAATAATTATTGTTTATATGAATGCTATGACACCCTAATTAGAAGAAACATAGTCATCATTATTGATGAATATGCTCATAAGTCATACCAAAGACCAACTTAAATGTATAAAATTATATAATATATGCTAATCATATTAGGTATTGCGCTGCAGTGCTGGTCATGCCAACCATGTATAAATAAAGAAGAAAAAATAAACATCTTGTCTTTATCTGAGAGCCGTATTTTTCATGCTTATGAGAATCATGTATGATCAGGGCGGAGCTAGAAGTCCGAATACGGGTTCGGCTGAACCCAATAGCTTTTATTCAAACAATATATTTGTATTAAGAAAATTCATTAAATATGTACAAATATTAAATTTAGAACCCGGTTATTAACACTTTGCTGTTTTAAAGTTCAAAACCCATAAAGTTAAAATTCTAGTTTCGCCTCTGCGTATGATAGTGTAAATAATTTATACAACGTCAATGTACGCTATTTAACTTCCAGCAGGCCGATTCTTTCATAGTTAGGAGTTCAATGCATAGAATATTATGGCTAAGATGGAGTGTAAAATGCATATAAAAAATTTTAAAATGTTGATTTTGTTTGATTCTCTTACAAATGAATTTAACTTTATGGGTGTGTTTGGTACGAAAGGAAAACATTTTTCGGAAAATGTTTTCCAATTTTCCCATGTTTGGTTGGCTTAAATGTCTTGGAAAATATTTTTTTTATCAACTCATTTTCCTCCAATTGTTTTCCTTATCAAGAGAAGGGAAAACATTTTCCAAAACTCCTTCTCAACATTTCCCACCCTCACCCTCCCCCCCCTCCCCCCCCCCACTCTCCAACAAAGGTTTTTTTTTTTTTTTTTTTTTTAAATTTCAGTTTTTCTGTTACCACCCACCCTATACCCCTCCACCCCACCCACGCCACCTCCCACCCCCAACCCCCCACCCCTCCCGCAAAAAAAAAAAAAAAAAAATTCGCCCTACTACCCTACCCCACCCCCCACCCCCCGGACAAAAAAAAATTTTACCTTTTTTTGTAATTTCAAATTTCTGTTTTTTTCATTTTTCTACCCCACCCCCTCCCCCGAAAAAAATATTTTTTAAATATATTTTTTCAGTTTTAGTTTTTTTTTTTATCGGTTTAAAGGTTCAAAATTTTACAAGTACCAAAGTTATGAGTTCGGAGGTTTATGTGTTTGGAAATTTACGGGTTTAGAAATTATAAAGTTTACTGGTTCGGATTCCGCGGTTTCGAAAGTTTAGCGGTTCGAAAGTTTATGAAATTTGTGGATTCGGAAGGTTGTTGGTTTGAAAGTTTATGGCTTCATGTTTATTATATCTAAATTATTTATGAATACTCTTGAGAAGTCATTTTCCTTAATTTGCGTACCAAACACCTGAAAATGAATAAGATTACTACTTGTTTTCCAAGAAAACATTTTCTTGAAAAATATTTTTCACAGAAAATATTTTCCGTTATACCAAACACACCCTATATGTTGACCTTTCAAAGATTTTATTATCAAGTTCTTAAGCTTAATATTGGTAAGTGGTAACCCTCTACTGAAGTCTGAAGCTGTTGATTACATGTAACTTGAAAAATAAGTTAAATAAAACATTTTTTGAGGATATTCTCAATATGTTGGAAAGATATGGAAGCATAAAAATAGTGTAGTAATATAATAACGAAATAAAAATAAAACATCCATCAACATTTGAATTAGACAAACCAAACGAATTTGAACTTCAAAATTCGTAAAATTAAAGTTGTAAGGTAGTATCATTCTTAACAGAATAAATTAGGAGAGATTGTTAAAAGAAATTAGTTACTAATCCCTCCGTTTTAATTTTGCGAACCAATTTGATCGAACAGCGGCGTACACAAAAAAGTTTTAATGTTGTTAATATTTAAAGAAGTGAATAAATAAATACATCACTATAACAATAAGGCGGTGTCATTTTTTATATTTATACCAAATATTTTTATTTTTCTTATTATCTATACATCCATTTTGATAAAAAATTTGGACGAAGCGCTTGACATAAGGTGCCTACGCTCATGTGACCGAATAGGAAGTTTAAAAAAGAAAGTATTTTTTTTTGAAATCCGTAATTTTTATCATATCATAATATTTGTATGGTTATATAGCTTTTGAAACTTGTGAATTTAAACCCGTCATATCATTTGTGTGAGTATAAAAAAAAATTATTTAGAGTAAACTACGAAGTTGTAGTTAAATTTTTTCTAAACTAAAGTAAAAACAAAATAAGTTTACAAAGGGAATATCATTTTAAAATTTTCAAAAAGATATGTTTTCTAGGGTGTGTTTGGTCGGCAGTTCTTTTCGAAATCATTGACTAATTAATGATTTGCTGTCAGAGGAATCAACTCAGAAGCACGTGTGTTGATCATCAACTTAATCTTTACTTAGTCAAAAATACATATCTTGAATTACCACATAAACTCTACAACAAAGAATATTATATAAGCAATGATACGTATTGAAAAGGAGTTTTACTTGTCAATCCTGTATGGCCAAAATTCGACTGAGAAAATTCAGCACGAAGAGGTAATTATCGTTAGATTTGCAACTTATCATTGGCAGCTTGGCCGAGGTCGATCAGTGGTCAATAAAACGAGCCGCTGAGTGGCTCATCAAGGCCGAGGTCGAGCAGCATGTACAGAAGTAACGACTAGTACAGGTTTGGAACTTTCAAAGAGAATATTCTATGAATATTCCTCATGTTGTACCTTTTAGGGTTCTTTGGGAATATCTCATATAAATAATATGAGAGATAAGGAAAAAGGCATGTAATTGTATATGATAAGAACACTTTTGAAAAGTTAGCTCTTTAGATAAATACAAAGAACAACTTTCAGTAGAGATTCATTAATCTCTTTAGCTTATCTATTGTCATTTCCACCGGATCCAAAAAAGTGTCCCGTATTCTCTTATACTCTTGTCACTCATCATTGTCAGAGGAAGGAATCCTCCACCTCATTCAAAATACTGAAAGAATTACAAGAAAATACACATGACTTCACACCATAACAAAAATGGCCCATGTTTTTAAGTTTTACCCGGCCTAACCCATATTGTACATATTTTGAAAACAGTAGCTCTTGCAAATTTGTTCTTACAACCATTGCTTCTAAAAGTTATGGAGTTAAATCTGTGTTCTCACAACCATTATTTTTACTCTCTCTTCTTCTCATATTTTTTACATATGCTTCAAGGGGCGGTCCACCATTACTGCTTCTCCCCCTATGTCACCTGGTTGCAATATAAAAATAATTGAAGAGTAGAAGTCCACCATTGAAGGCCATTCAAAGCTTTGCTTTCGAAAAAGAATTTTTTGAGTTTGTTAGTTGTTTGGATTGGGTGCTGTTCCAATTGATTGAAAATATCAAAAGGAGTTCAAAATTTAATTTTGAAGTGATTTGGAGGAGATTTGAGCAAGATTTGAGTTAAATTTCAGAAAAGACGCAAGGAAGAAGACGAAGTTAGTTTTTTGTATAATCTTGTATAATAGTGTATATGAGTGTATAAACACATCTTATACACTTTTATACACCTTTATACAAGCGTCTGTAGACGAACTTCATCCACGATTTTCAGTTGCAATTCTTGTTCAAAACCAGTCCAAATCTCCATTAATTGACTTCAAATTTTATATACAACCTCCTTATACTATTTCTAACAAGTCTAAATAACACCCACTCCAAATTTCTCACAAAATTAAATTTGGAATTTAAACCCACATATTTAAGCTTGTTAAAAATCTAATTTTCACCAACCAAATAGATTTGGTTTGTTGAACTAATATTTGAGTCACAGTTACTGATTCGAAAATTAACTTAAAAGCTTGAGCAATCTTTCTTAAAAATTAAATAGTAATTTTAAGAACCTATTGGAGTTGGATGTTTAATCTTAGCCTATTATTTTTGGGCTAGTTGGTTGTAAATTGAAATATGGGCTATAAAATTGAAAAGTAGGGAGCTCACTTGTTCTAATATGAAATTTTCCCCAATATTTACAAATTACAACGCCTAGCCAATATACATATATTATACACTAATTTTATATAACATATATATATA